CTGTTAAAAAAAATTGAATAAAATATACATTAAAAAATAGCATTTTAAAATATAGAAGTAAATCAATGTACTACTTTTTTCTGTTTTTTTTATTTTTATTTTATTTATGCACTCTAAAAAATGCTGGGTTGTTTCAACCCAAATTTGGGTCAAATATGGACAAACCCAAATGTTGGGTTAAAAATGTAATTAAAAAAAATGTAGAGTTGAAAGTGAAAGTTGAAGATGGGGTAGAATTTTAAATGACATAACCCAACATTTGGGTTTGTCCATATTTGACTCAAATTTGGGTTAAAACAACCCAGCATTGTTTAGAGTGTGTATTCATATATGTACAATAGTGGCTAAACGTGATGCGCCGCGTAGGAAAAATGAGATATTCACTCTTTATTCAAATATTATTAAAAATGTGTTAAAGATTTTTGTAAGCGTGTTGCATAGTTGAGCTTGGAGTAAAATGTTTTATTTGTGATAATATCTCAATGAAACCTGCGAATTGTGGCAACATCAATTTTAATCAGTCTGTTATACAAAGAAATTATGAACACACAAAATATTAATATTTTTTTTCCTTTTAACTTTATTTTGCATTTTGCATAGAAGAATAAAACCTGTAGCTGTACTTAGCTTCTTTTTTTTAAATAATTTTAAATACTTGAAACATTTTAGTTTTTTATAATTCCCTCTTATTTACAATTTAACTAATATATTTAACTAATATATATATATATATATATATATATATATATATATATTGATTGATGGTTCAATTGAACTACAGCCACAAGACAAATATAAAAAATATATAACATTTAATAAAGTTTTTTTGTATAAAGTTATATGCAACGTCCTTGACAAGACAACACAATGCATTAAACCCTAAAATAACTATAAAACCTTTACTTGAAACTTAAAAAGAGTAACTGGTGAACAAATCCAATAAAACAAAGTGAAAAATCGTGTGTTGCTGAGCCAGCATCGCTTACAACTCTTCTAGTGTTCTCCAGTTTACAAAAGCTTAACAAAGCCTCATTGTTCTGGTCTGTCTCTCTTGTAAACTTTGGTATCACTATCTATTCTCACAGACATGACATGTTTATTGGTGTCCATTTCTGATGTAAAAATCATGTGCTGTACCCTTAACCCTCTGTAGTCGCTTGTTTGTGTGTATTTTGGAAGTTTGAAGTGTTCTTAATTGTTTCTGGTTCACCAAAATGACATTTTTTTTTTCTTGTAAAAAATGTCTTCATGCCTTAAAATATATTGAATGTAACTCGACACCCTTTCCTCATTTATTATGCGCGGTTCTCTGAATATGCAAATGAGCCCCGCCCCCACTCACTCACTCACTCAGAGATCCACTGGTTGACGATCACACGTTGATCTGATTGGTTACAAGGTCGTTTGTGATGTCAGAAACACCAGCGATTTCACGCATGTTTTGAGACTGTCTTTGCAGTTTTAAGCAAAAAATACTCAGCAATGCTGTCCACTTATGAATGTACACATGGTGTGTCTAAAAGCGTATCACCACACACATATAAACAACCTTAAAAGTTGGATTTATCCACAGGGGGACTTTAAAACAAACACTGAGATGCAGTGGATGTGTGCTCAGCCTCTTATGAATCTTTGTTCCACTTCTGAGGTTACAGAGATCTTATTTCAGGCCTAATTCTTAATCAAAATGTTGCTGAACACCAAAACCACTGGCATTCAGTACAGTACATGTTCTGTTGAAACACAGATGGCACATGGGAAACTTTCCCTAAAACCATACCGCAGTTTGATGAGTGTGTGGCGAAGTAGTTTTTCCCCCCAACCACTTTAATTGACTTTTAATTGTCTGAACTCAAAAAGACGTTCTACTTCTACAAGAAAATCTGGTATACACTTCAGTCTTTATTTAAAGATCCAGTATGAACTAAGACAAACAATTAAAGTGACAACCACAACAATGATAACAACAGCTCAAAGAGATGGATGGATGTGTGGTCCTGGATGTCCTGTCCTGTCTACACTATAAACAATGTTATAATGATCATTTATACAGGGTATAAAGAGATACGATAAAACAAAGTCTGTTCTGCATTTGATCTGGATCTTGATAACGGACAGCTCTTTTCACAGCAGAAAGGAATTCATTTAGCTTTGGTTGAAGGCTTTGATGCGCCGAAACACATCGAGCGTATACGATGACCCTCACAGAAAGCTTCTTAGAAGTTTTGTCTGCACTTAAAGGAGTAGTTCACTTAAAAAAAAAAAAAAAAAAAAACTTTTGCTGATAATTTACTCACCCCCATGTCATCCAAGTTGTCCATGTCTTTCTTTCTTCAGTCGAAAAGAAATTAAGGTTTTTGATGAAAACATTCCAGCATTTTTCTCCATATAATGGACTTCAATGGGAACCAAACGGTTCAAGGTCCAAAAGAGAGTTTCAGTGCAAACTGTTCAAAAGGCTTTAAATGATTCCAGACGATGAATAAGGGTCTGATCAAGCGAAACGATCGGCCATTTAATAAATAAATAATAAAGTTTACATTTTATAAGCTCAAATGTTCGCCTTGCTCTGTTCTGTGATGCGCGTTCGTGACTCTCCTGTTCGAACTCGTTCATCAAAATGAACGAATCTTTTTTTGAGTCATGTGGTTCATTCCGTTCGTTGAATTAGCCAAATGACTCGAAAAAAGATCGAACTCGTTTATCAAAATGAACGAATCTTTTTTCGAGTCATTTGATTCCTTTCATTCGATGAATTAACCAAATTACTCGAAAAAAAGATTTGTTCATTTTGATGATGAACGCACATCACAGAACAGAGCAAGTCGAGCATTTGTGCTCATACAACTAAAACATTTTTATTTATTTTTGAAATGGCCAATTGTTTCGCTAGATGAGAATCGCTTAAAGCCCTTTGAACAGTTTGCACTGAAACTCTCATTTGGACCTTGAACCGTTCGGTTCCCATTAAAGTCCATTATACGGAGAAAATCCTGGAATGTTTTCATCAAAAACCTTAATTTCTTTTCGAATGAAGAAAGAAACACATGGACATCTTGGATGACATGGGGGCGAGTACATTATCAGCAAAAGTTTATTTTTTTAAATGAACTAAACCTTTAACTGGATCTATTATCTGATGATAGCATATACTGCAGGATACACTCAGATGGATGTTTGTCATTTAAAGGGATAGTTCACCCCAAAATGATTACTCTCCCTCATGTTGTACAACTCCGTAAGACTTTCGTTCATCTTCAGAACACAAATTAAGACATTTTTGATAGATGAAAGAAAATCTTAGTAGAAAGAAAGTAATCGCTGACCTAGTTTTCATTTTTGGGTGAACTGTCCCTTTAAGGCTCTTCAAGTGTAGCATAATAATGAGCTCTTTTTAACCGCAAATACTGTTTCTCTTTCCGAGGTAGGTACGGATGGTGTTAAGATCGTCAGTAACATCAAGTTATGCAATGTTAGCTTTGCAACAGTAGTATCATCCAAGTCTGTGTTCGATTTAACAATCTCAATTTCAGATACAAAGAAACATGAATTCCTGGAGTGTAACACAGCAAGTACACAGTACATAAGAACAGTGAGTACAATATGATAAATATATAGCTAATGGCATGCATGAGTGGGTTAACTGTATCATATGAAGCATACGGTGACCTGTGTTGGTTGGCAGAAACTATAGATATGTTCCAACATGGATGTCAGTATTAGCACAGTACAAGTAAATCTCACAAACTTTTAGGAATATTACTGGGTTCAGTACAATGTTATATTCCTGTAGCTCAAACAGGAGATGATGGCGCCAGCAACGCCAAAGTCATGGGTTTGATGCCCAGGGAATGTAAATGCATACATTTAAATATTGTTGATTATCACACAAAAAAAAAAAAACCATGAAATACAGTGAGGCACTTAATGGAGGTTAATGAATGGGAAAATTCTCACCATTTCAATAGTTCGCCCACATGAACTCTCAGTATTTGTGCTTTTCTCTACTAATATCTGAATATTGCTAAATCAAGATACATTTACTTGATAGGTGAAATTTCTTAAAGGGGCCATATGTAGAATTCAGAAGCCTTGTTATTAGCGCCCCCGGTGGCCGTTCAGTGAACTTCATACTCGAACTCGTGAACACGATTCGATACTCTGATACACTCACGCCGAAGGTCTTGTTCGTTCTTGGCTTAGAAATAGAAAAAACGTTGCAGTGATAAACTGTTAACGAACATCCCGACGCCGTCCACTGCTACGAGTGTAAATATGTGCTGCACTTTCCTCTTAACCCTTATGCTGCATTAGGGACATTTTTGGTCTTTTGCAGTTTAATTTCTTTGACCATTTTGGCTGTTTTAATGCAAATGGTATGAAATTTGGCAAAATTGTGACTTTTTGGATACATGTAAAAAATGTGATCCCATTTTGCAAAATATGTATAACACACACTGTGTAGATCAAATAGTAACACTCAGCACCATAAAGACCAAAAATGGCCCATTGAAACCCATTAAAACGTTGTTTAAATCTGAGGCTGTCAGTAATACATGAAACATGATTTTTGCACAAACATCCTTTCATTTTGAAGCAAAAGCATTATATTTGCATTATATAGTGTATTCCACCAGATGACGTCACTACATATTTATTCCCTATGGGTGGAAATGCACCTTATTTTAGGCAATAGGCAATGTTTAATAGGTGGCCATTTTTGGTCTCTAACGCGCTAAGTGGGATTTTTTGCAAAGTGGGACTGTGATCATCCAAATCTAAAGTTTTCTCTTTGCATTTAGTTTATTGAAAATAATTGAATTTTTGTGTTTTTTTCCTCTTATACAAATCGATGGTTTCGCAAACAAAACTGGTAATTAAAGGGTTAAAATCCTGAAATTGAATACATTTTTGGTAGTTATGATGAGGACTGATGCTGGTTAAAAGATTTAACTTGGTAAAAGTGGAAAATAATAATAATATATAATATTTTAGGCAATGTTTAATATGTGGCAATTTTTGGTCCTTAATGCACTCAACGGTGTTAAAAATCTAATGCAGCACAAGGGTTAATAACAGACTAAACAGAAAACAACTGAGAATGATGCGTTTGCATCAGATCTGAGATTCACCGATAAAATCACTTTGTTATGATTAGAAATGTGAGACTATTGACAATATCGATCTGGCTCTGTGAGAATCTCTTTTCTTTGCATGACTCATTCACATTACAATACTGGAGGGATCTTTTCTGCACTGTATAAGCATCAGGAGCGAGTGTGAACGTCGATCCTTTCGATTTTCGACGCAAAAAACATCACATAAAAATCATTCTACAACCTATGAAGCCGGGAAGGTCTTGTCCCATTTACTTCCACTGTAAGCGCCTCACCGTAACCCGGATTTAGAAATGTCAACATTATGCTGTTAATTCTTGTATTGAACCAGGAATATTCATTTGATCACTAAACATAATTTATCCCCACATGCACAGCTTCATTGTTCTTGTAGCGGGACTCTAGCATAGTTTGCATCATACGACATACAAGGCAACATAACCTGCTGCAATTTACATTAAATTAGCTTGTAAAGTAAAAGACTATGATAAACAGCTTGATAACTGCTTCCAGCTTTTGCATTCAAGGCTTTTACTCAAAGGGTTTTAATCCCAAAGCCATTTATTTTTTCTTTTTCAGAGCCTTCATTCAAACTAAAACCACTTAATTGGTTAGCTGGAGGAGGACTGACAGGCCGGCGATCTCTCTCACACACCGTTTCAGGATTGCACCTTCGCTAAAGTGGCACAGACAAAGAGAGAGAGGCTTGGGATATAGAAGGATTGTTTCCAGTTGCTGGTTTTCCTGATCTAAATTACGGAATTGCAGTTCAATAATCTCACTTTGCATTGCAGCATTGTAACACACTTTAAAACGGTGAAGGAATTAGACTTAATTGGGGGGCAGCGAGTGTGTGTGTGTTTTTTATGAAAAGCCATGGATAATGGGGTGTCTGGAAAGAAAACAGACGTGTGTGTGTGTGTGTGTGTGTGTGCTCGTTCCTCTCGCCGTGAGCTGAATCCAGGTTCACGAGAGCCAAGACAAATACAATAAACAATCACAGCGACACCATTCACATGGCAATGGATCAGCGCTTTCATGGAGACTCCTGCAGATCTGACAGATCACGACCTAGAGAAGCGGAAAAGAGAAACACTGAAACATGTATCATATACTTCATTTGAACGTGCCTTACATACATTGAACTTACTCAACTAGATTCATTAATGACACTCTAAACAATGCTGGGTTGTTTTAACCCAAATTTGGGTCAAATACTGTATGGATGTTAATTTTTTCATTACATTTTTAACCCAACATTTGGGTTTATCCATATTTGACCCAAATTTGGGTTGAAACAACCCAGCATTGTTTAGAGTGTACGTGTACTTACTATATAGTAACGGGTTAGGGATTGGTTTGATGGTTAGTTACTTGTGATTATGCATATTTTACTGTTATTAATATAGTGAGTACACGTACGTAGTAATATGTAACCATGTCAACTTGTTACCCACATTATGCTGCACATTATGGACATATCGATCTGTTAACTTCTTCATGAGTGACATTGGTCAATGGTCTAGAAAAAGCGATCTGTACTTACTGGGAGATTTTGCAGTTTGTTGTTTTGACGAAGCGGCCCGTGTATTGGATATTGCACCGGACAACATTGTTGGTGAAGTCTGACTCAAGCACCAAGTATTTGGGGTTAACCTGGAGCTAGAGACAGAATTTAGACCTTCAGTGCTGGGAAAAAGTAAGTGTAAACACTACACCCGGGTCCTACTCGCCCCGCTCCGAGCGGGCCTCGAACCCTGGTCTCCGGCGTGAGAGTCAGGCGCGCTAACAAGGAGGCTAAAGACTGCAGCCTCTAGCATCAGTCGCTAGAGTGCCTATTGAGATCGGAGAGTGAGGTTTACTCGCACAGCAACTACTAGCTGGCCTCCGTTACATAAGTGCACCCCATGACATTCATATATCAGGTCATACTATAAGCTTTTTCGTAACATTTTAATTTAGTGTCATGGACCCGAAGCCATTGCGTTTTTAAAACGGTAATTTCCTATACTAAATCTAATCTAATCTTGACAAACTACATATCATTTGAAAGCTTAGCAATCTCTAGTTTCGATATTTGGTGACTGATGTTCAAAATAAATTACAGAGGAGCTGTAATTTGCAACAAATATTTTCATACTCCTAAGGCCTTTATTTTGTAATAGCAATGAACATGAAAAATCAAGAAAGGACAGTAGAAATGCCAAGAGTTCAAAATATAGCATCATTCAATTATTTTAGAAAAAAAAAAGTCAGAAAATGTTTTAAATATAAATAAAAAAATGATATATTCACCATTTGTGGCACATGTGGCAGCGAGCTATAACGCACATGAATGTTCTTTTTATGTGATTGTTGAGGTTGAATTCATATCAAAATATGCCAAACTTCTCATATTACTTCTGAATAGGATGCCAACTTCATAAATTGTATGAAAATTGTGTGAATAATGGTTTAGATCACTCAAAACACATATGGAAATAATGGAGTCTGGTTGTGCCCTAGTGGAAGCGTTTGGTACTGCACACACACACACACACACTCTCTCACTGAAAGCTCATTTTCTGAGATATCAACCTAAAATTTGAAACACAACTTGTTTATATTTTTGGCTTTGATATATATATATATATATATATATATATATAGAAGAGTTCAGATGCAAAAGCCTCTAAATGCCATTTGAAATTTTCTTCTAAAATGACCATTTTTATCAAGCTTGTATATTTAAGTTCAGTAATTTCACTTAAATAACAATTAATAGGTAATCTTCATTGCCATTTAAGTGAAATTACTGAACTTAAATATACAAGCTTGATAAAAATGGTCATTTTAGAAGAAAATTTCAAATGGCACTTAGAGGCTTTTGCATCTGAACTCTTCATATATATATATATGAAAATATGAATAATTACATTTTTTTTACATCATACATTACTCAAATGTCTATAACTTTTTTTTTCTGTTTCACTTTCTTAATTTATTTCATTTCAACAAAAAAGTGCCAAATGTCTTCTTTAAAATAAGACCAATCTTGCGTCTATATTCCAAAGCATTCTCGAATTAAACCATTTAAGTTTGGATTGTGCATTTTCACGCTATAAGCATCTCACAGTCGAGCGTCAGAAAAGAAGGCTAAACATCATTGCATTGCTGTTGTTTTGCTGAAGGTCAAACATGCTTGAAGAGACAGTGGAGCATGTCTGAATCTGTGTTATTTATGAGCTCACGCATGCCAAACTCTTCATCGATATCATTCAGACGATACCGCACATCAAAAGACTAACTTTTAGCGAGACATGCCATATTCTGTTTGGATGCGTTCGATAAGATATATTCTCTCTTTGAAGATTATGAAAATGTCTTATGGGAGACGGAGTGTACATGTTTGAGAATGTTACCTTCAGTATATAGTTTCCTGGCTGAACATCAGTGATGTCAATCCATTGGCAATCAATGTCTGCATTGTATGTGTCGTAGCAGCCTGGACTCAAACCCTGGGGAATTCAACATTTCCTTTATCAAACAACAACGTCCAGTGTCTTTAATTACTATGCACTAACATTTAAATTAAATATCTGTATCAGAAACTGCACTGTCCCGTACCTGTGTGTGTGAAGTACAAGCGAAACGTTTCAGATGGCCGAAGTCACAGGTCGTGTCCTCCAGACAGAAACTGGCCTTGTGTCCCTCGGCCACCTTCCGGCCAGAGCTCGCCTCCAACAGGTCGTAGTGACTGAACTCATCCATACTGTGGTAATGCCTGAGAGAGAGAGAGCATAGACTGTGAAAGAAAATATGGTGTGCGTGACGTCACCTGTATGTTTCTGAAGAGCAATTATGAATCCCAAAGTGGGCGGAGCCGGCCGTCGCCATCTTGGCCGCGTCACTCCCGGATAAATGAATGTAGGCAAAGATTAGCTGAGGTGACAGCAGACTAGTGACATCAGCAGCAATCCACCTGTCACTCAAGTGGCCACGCCCTTAATAATGCAGAACTTTAAGGCTTAATATAATTTAAACGGATGAGTTGTAGAAATATTCACCCCCCTCACAGTCGTCATGAAGGGCAAAATTAGCAATATAGACCAAAACAACTTTTAGAACCAGGCTGTAAACATGTGTTTATCTGCTGTAAAGTTGGACATTTTAACATGCGGGTCTATGGGATTGACTCTCTAGTGGCCAGTGGAGGAACTGCAGTTTAACTCACTCCACTGCTGGATTCAAGAGAGAGACAGAAACCCACTTTACTTCACTGACACACACAAACCTTCTCTTTCTTCATGGTTCAGGCTTTGAGAAGGCATTAATAATCGAGCAGGAGCTTCCCGACTGCACACACACCGCTGGTTCTGTTCTTGGAAAGCTGTGGTAATACCTGAGGACGGCGGCGGGGAAACACAGGTGCTTTCCTCTGACAGGGACAGAGTTCATATTTTCCACAGGGATACGATATTTCCCATAAACCGTGTGTGTTACTGCCAAGCATATTAAATCATATTTGATGAGGGGATGACAGACATTTCAGGAGCCTGTAGCCAAAATCCCTGAGCAAACTATATGAATCACAGACACACACACACACACACACACACACACGTTGGGTTTCCATGTTTTATGGGGATTTTCCATATAGACAAAAATAATATAACACACTAAGCCTAAACCAACCCATCAAACAAAACTTTCTGTATTTTTATTTTTTTTTAAATTTTATTTGTAGCAGTTTTTTATACAACACTGCTTTTACAAAAAGATTGTTATACATAAAATAAAATAAAACTAAACAAACACCCCCCCCCCACACACACACACACACACACCAGACAGAGAGAATTAAAAAAAATTACACTTTGAGTCACTAAATCAAAATTGGAACTTTCTGTATTTTTACATTTTCAAAAAAAAACATCATAAATATTCTGGTAAGACTTTAGATATTATACTAACTATAACTAACTCTCAGAGTTTATTAATATCAACATCAATGCTTGTCTACAGATATTTGACTGACGATCATAACTACATGTCAACTTGCTCAGTCTGATACTGTAATGAGAGCTAGTTGACATGATCTTGTCTTTTTATTTACTTTATTTACTGATTTATGAAACCACAATAATAAATATACTATAAAGTATTGACATATTTCACCATTTAAAAGAAATAACTAATCCTATCAACATTTTATCAGAACAGTTTTACGCAGAATAGAGTGGAAACACTGTGGAGACAAACGCGATCCGGACGCGAAATGACAAGCTGCGTTCTGGTTACATATAAAATTACATACATATATAAATATATATGAAGAGTTCAGATGCAAAAGCCGTAAATGCCATTTGAAATTTTCTTCTAAAATGACTATTTTTATCAAGCTTGTATATTTAAGTTCAGTAATTTCACTTAAATGACAATTAATAGGTAATCTTCATTGCCATTTAAGTGAAATCACTGAACTTAAATATACAAGCTTGATAAAAATGATCATTTTAGAAGAAAATTTCAAATGGCATTTAGAGGCTTTTGCATCTGAACTCTTCATATATATATATATATATATATATATATATATATATATATACACACTACAGTCAAATCTGACGGTCTGCACTTCGCCTGGCTGTCGTCTTTGTTAATGTGAGTAATAAAAGCACTGGAAAACTCAGTTTTCATTTCAGCTATTAATACATAAACACTGTTAATCTCCACACAATATCAAACATGTCAAAGCAGAGAAGTGCAAACTATTATAGATTACCTTCTGCTCTCTGCAGTTCTCCTGAATTATGTCAAAGAGAGTGAGGTGATTGTACACAAGATTTCAGATTGAGGTTGCATGAAAGACGTCATCACACATCAGCTTAGCCGTCTAATTGCATTAAAGTGCTGAATACTTCATGTGCAGACATTAATAATCTGTTCATGAGCAAAACTGACTGCTGGCACTCTGATCCCAAGCCAGAAGTGAATGTTGATAATAATGTACAACCGAAGTCAAAACAAAATACTTCCATATGCATCTCCGCTAATTAATTTATCCGACGGTCAAACACAGGATTTCTGCCATTACGAGAGTCGACCAAATACACTCTCATCCTCACACATGTTTTAATGCAGAACTAATCCGTGCAACATTTCACTTCCAGTTTAATTTGTAATATGGCTGTCAATCGATTTAAAATTTAATTGATATGCTAAATAACATTATTGAAAAAAATTAGGGCTGGCAAACGATTAATCATGATTAATCGCATCCAAAATAAAAGTTTGTGTTTACATAATATATGTGGGTGCACTGTGTATAATTATTTTATATATATAAATACACACACATGCTTGTATATTTAAGAAATTATTTCATGTATATACTGTATATAGATTTATATATACCGTAATTTATAGTATATATACATTTATATTATATATTTTATATGTAAATATTTTTTTTTCTTAAATATGCATACATGTGTGTGTATTTATATATATATAATATAATAAGTAATTATACACAGTGCACCCACATATATTATGTAAACACAAACTTTCATTTTGGATGTGATTAATCGCGATTAATCGTTTGACAGCCCTAAAAAAATATTAAATTTAATCTCAATTAATGACATGCATGTGAAAAATAATATAAAGATAATTTAATTAATTTTTTTATTTATTTAATTTATAAATTATAAAATAATTTGTCTGATTTTTCTCTCTCTTTTGTTCACCTAGACTGCATTTATTTGATCAAAGATGCAGCAATATTGTGAAATTGTGGTTTTCTATGTGAATATATTGTAAGATGTAATATATTCCTGAATTTTCAGCATCATTACTCCAGTCTTCTGTGCCACATGATCCTTCAGAAATCCTTCTCTATCATTGGGCAGTTCGAGCTGCTATGATTGACAGCTGTCACAGATGATGTGATGTGGGCGTGTCCAGCGATGCAGCAAAGCTGATCATCCGAGTTTAACTTGAAGCGAAACAACAACTCTCGCCAATTCACCGTCTCGCTTGCAAATGTAGACACGATGTAATGAACAGCTACAGGCGAACAAACACAGTTCTGACAAGCACTGACAGACTTTAATTTACACTTGTCACGAGGCCCAGCTGATTGTACATGGAAATGATATGGAAATCCCCTCTGAGGATAACAGCCCTTCGCCAAGTGAAACAAAATACATAAATCGATGCCAAAATTCATTTAGATTTTGATGTAAGATAAGGAATTTAAACTCACTTTCACAATCTGGGACTAGTATAATTGCATCATTCCGGGACTTTTAATCGTATTAGGGCTTGAATTGTATTGATTTGTAGCTACAGGCTTGTAAAAAAGGTACGTGTGTGTGTGTGTGTGTAAAATGCTGATATTTTCTATGCAACAATGGAGCTTAAAGGATTAGTTCACTTCAGAATTAAATTTTCCTGATAATTTACTCAACCCAACGTCATCGAAGATGTTCATGTCTTTCTTTCTTCAGTCGAAAAGAAATTAAGGTTTTTGAGGAAAACAATGGGTCGAAGGTCCAGATGTGAGTTTCAGTGCAGCTTCAAAGTCTCGACACGATCCAGCCGAAGGAATAAGAGTCTGATCTAGACAAATGATCGGCCATTTATAATTTTGTTTTTTAAATATATTAACATTTGGACCTTCGACATGTTGGACCCCATTGAAGTCATTACTGTTTTCCTCAAAAAATTTCTTTTCGACTGAAGAAAGAACGACATGAATAATTTGAAAGACGTGGGGGAGAGTAAATTCATAATTAATAGAGAAATTTTAATTCTGAAGTGAACTACTCCTTTATGAATCGTGGCTTTGTGGTTAGTGCTCATTAATCCGAATACATAGTAGCCCTCAAACCGTATTCACTTTATAGCCCTTAACCCTGTAATTGTGGACAAATGTGGGCACAGAGGACTAAGGTGTGATCCTAATTTTTATTTATTATAAATGTTATATCACTGTCTTCGATAAAGTTTTGTCTATCCATTTATGGTGTTTTTTTTCTATTTTGGGGGTATTTTTTAATTTATTTACTTTAAAAAGTACCATATTTTCTACGTATATTATGCTTATTTTTTTAACTACATTAAAATATCATTCCAATAAGTTCTTAGAGCTAAAACCTAAAAATGAAGTGACTTTGCCGTCACCTGGTGTCTTATTTTGGCTTATTTTAGAGTGCTCTAAATTACAGTTTTTCCCATTCATTTCTATGGGTGCCCATTTTTTTTTACCCAAATACAAGATTAAGGAGTTTATTTCACCCACTTAACATTGTAGAATTGAGTCAAAAAAAATTGTGTGTGTGTTCAGGAGGCAAACTTTGGAAAAGTAGCCAAGTCTTGTACCGCTTAGATCAAAGGAAGTATTTTTTAAAAATAAATTTTTATTTTTAGACAAAATAAAATAAATAAATTTTAATTTTTAGACAAAACTATTTTGCCCACATTTGTCCAGAATACGGTTTTAGGGTTAAAACTGTGTTTTCATTTCAAAACGCTCTCCATCCACACTAGTTTTAGCATCAAAAGTTTCTCACCCACACCGAAACATGTGAAGAGCGAGAGACTGGTGGATCTGGACTTACTGGTGACAGCTGTGCCACTCCCAGGTGTGGCGAGGTCTGTTGGGCATGAAGTCAGCCGTCCCTTGGTTCTTCACTCGCTGGGGGAAGCGCAGAAGAACCCTGACACTATAGTCTGTGGCGTCGGCACTGTAAGCCGAGCTGAGGAGGGGAACACATTCATGAGCTTCTGCAGCACTGAGTAATGAAACGTTGTATATATGAGAGCAGGGTGGAATTTATATGATGTGACACCACCCAAATTTCTGCATGAAGAACTCCACAAATGTGATCTCACATCCTTCCCGTTGGTTATTACATTATGGTGTGGTGTAAACAGTTGTAGAGGGGTTTGGGAGGGGTTATTGTGTAAACACAGCCTGCCCAGCTTTGAATGGCCATTTCATAAACTGAAGTATAAAGAGTCGAGAGTTGAGCGTCCTCACCTTGCCAAACACTTCTCCTCCGCCGCACAGCGCAACGAGTACATATGGGCTCTCTGAACGTATGTGGAGGCTTGGACATAGTTAGGGTCAGGAACCAGGTCAGGCAAACCTAAAAACAGGACATATCATAAGAGAAGAAACACATTCTGATATTACAAAGAAGGAAACTATATGTCTAGCCAATTCTCATCCCGTGGCATCATATAGGTGACGCTTTTGCCAATGCGTAGACACCCAACACACATGGCACCCTTTAGCGTCAAAATGAGACGCAGATATATATGGGGGAGAAGGCGCCTCCTAGTGGTCTAACCCTAACACTACACCAGACCTAAATCTTCCCATAACCGAAGCATGTTATATTGACGCTAAAGGGTGCCATGTGTGTTGGATGTCTACGCATTGGCAAAAGCGTCAGTATATGACGCCTTGGGATGAGAATGCGTTGATATGTATATATGACTGGCTTAAGCTGGTTTAGGCAGGTCTCCAGACCTGGTCAAGCTTGTTTCCAGCTAGTCTTTAGCATGAAATGTACCCAAACCCCTCTAAAAGCTTTAAGCAGACAAGTCTAACCACATGACAAGTGCCTTTTGAAAAACATGTATTTAATGCTAAGTATACTACAAATACATTTACATATTTATGCACTTAATAATACCCTGAATTTGTATTGTTGCTATACTAAATTGGTATACTTAAAGGTTTCTAAATTGGAACAAATATTTTGTTCTTAATGCACGTTAGTTATGTGGAGATATTGCTGAGGTCTAACTAAAGACATTCTTAATTATATTTAATTGTGGAACTAAGTATACTTAAGGTGCACGTTTAATATTATACAGATGTCATACTATCCTTACTAATAGAGATATTAAAACACATTTTAGGCTTAATATTAAGAAATGTGCATTGTGCAATAAAGACCTTAATAATAACATTCATATCAGCCTCGAGTGATTTGTCAGTGTATGTGTTAATGGATTTTTAGTATACTTAGTATGAAATGTATTTTATATACATTTTGGTATATTTTGTTTCACTACGGTGGCCACCTAAAAAGTATTAAAAACTAGTTTAAAACCACCATCCAACCAGAGGTGTGTTTCCCAAAAGAACGACAGAACATAGTTGGCTTCGGGAAACACACCCCAGTAAAAGTGCTCAAAACCACTCTCAAACCACCAAACTGACTATTCTGACCACATGAAGTGTCCCAAAACCACTATAAAACCACCAACCCAACAAGTATGAACACATAAAAAGCGTCAAAACCACTCTAAAACCACAGTACAGACAATTCTGGTCAGTGTGACCACCTGACATGTGTCCAAACCCCTTTACAACAAGCGAACGGACCTGCTTAGCCAACCGAAAAGAGCAGGAACTCCTTCTAAAACCAGCTTTGGAGATCATCTTTGAGTAACAAGCCAGCAGTTTCCCCCCCCAAGCAATGTCAGGATTCATAACACACGGTCCTGGGGACAAATGTGCTGCTTTAATGTTCTGAGCTGTTCTGATGTTACATACCTTTAAATGTAAAAGAAAGTAAAATGGCAGTATCCAAATAAGCATACCTTTGACAAATACACAAGAGATGAAGAGGTTTTTGATGAGGTAATGGTGAAGCCTCACGGTATAATGCATCAAAGACTGTTTCTCATCTGGTTTCAAGGTCACGCACAAATAAGAAAAAAAAAAAAAAAAAGAAAGTGTTGCGCGTAGAGGAAGAGAGAGATAGAGTACAAAAGATGAGGGAGCGGTGACAGCCAAACGAAAATGAGATCACTTCCCTGCTGGATCCAAATTGGGCCTGTGACCAAATCTGTTAAAAAAAAAAAAAAACCAGAAAAATTGAAAAACAGAGCTAGCTGTGACAGCTAATGTTCTTAAGACTCTCAGCCAAGCGGTACAGGCCCAGTACAGAAACTACTTATCACCTTTATTTACACTTAAAACACAAGTTGGCTGTGTTCACTTCATGTCGAAAGACTCTTATGAATATATTAACAGTGCAGTCCTTACGTGGACATTAACATTTCTTCAAAGGGAAGGTAACAACATATCTGCTTTCCTGCTTTTTGCATGTCATGGATTTGAGAGAAAAGAACCCAGTTGAGAAGAGCAATCAGGCTCCTTCACCAACAAGACTTAGATGTGCAATTTTTCCCAGTGGTCCATCAGATTTCTTCAAAGAAATGTTGAATGCAGATCAAAATCTCACTTTAAAGCAACTTTCACTCTATAAAACATGACGGCCTTGGTCAGTCTCCTTATTTCAGGGATATTAGCGCCGCCCTTCTACTCCAGGGAATGCTTTGCCATCTCCATCTCTGTGTACACATCCGATTTGCCAGCTTGGTCTTAGACAGACTTAACGGCCTCAGGAAACGTTCTTGGTCAGCTCTTGTAAACAGTGTAAAGTGAGTGTGAAAGACTGTGGTTCACCAGCAAAAGGATTTTACACACAGTCTGCACTTTTCGCCACTGGACGCCTGCACTGCATCAACATTCATTATAAACAGCAAGCTACAATGAACACACAGCTCTGGTTTTTACACAAAAAGGCGAAACCAATACAAAATCTTCCTTCATAAATGGTAAATTGACTGCATTTGTATAGCGCTTTCATAGACCCAATGGCCACCAAAGCGCTTTACATATTGCCTCACATTCACCCACACATTCATACACCGACGGCGGTGTCAGCCATGCAAGGTCGGGAGCAGCTGGGGTTAGCTGTCTTGCTCATGGACACCTGGAACCGAGGATTGAACCACCAACCTTTCAGTTCGTAGACAATCTACATGAACCACTGAGCCACTGCCGCCCTTCATATTTAACCCCCCTCCAAATTAGAGACATAAAGGGTCTATATGTTTCAGGAAGACTAGTCTTGTAAGTACAATTATTGAATGACCCCTAGTCAGATACAGGCCAGATCTAAATATCTAAAAGAGGTTTTATGCTGCAACCATGCAAATGTGTCCCAACTGATGTTATTTCGATTTTCCAAATTCACAGATAGTGTATTTTTCTACAGGCTGGAGCTCGGACTGATTTCACCTTATTTGTTTGCGATTGCATCATCCAAGTAATGATTTAGTTTACGCCCATTTCCCTTATGACCAGATTCTGTAAACTGAGGTGATCAGTCGTGCGTGAAGTGACTCAAGCGAGAGACAAAGACCATTTCACATAACAAAATGAGCCTGCACACTTGGCAGTGGCCAGCAATGTCCCAGGGGCCTTACCCACCTCCACATACACTTATATATGCGCACACACACTTTTATTTAGGGGCTAGCAAAACATTTTCTGTTTGCTGAGGCAATGGACCCCATGTGTGCTGGGTACTTTCCATCCCCCCACTCCAAAAACATATATACGAACTACAGCCCTCACACTCACCCCACAACAACCAAGCCACTTTACCCCTTACCCCACCCTCTAAAGCAAATACTGGGATCATTCACCCTTAGCCCTCGCAGTGCAGTCATCACCACAACCAGAACCAAATCTTCAAACAATGAGCACTCTTTGTGCAGAATGTGTATCCATAGGCACTACACACACACACCAACTACCACATACTCATACACCCACACACATCCCACAACACCTGGTTCCAATAACCCAGGCTCTGAGACAAAGATGAACTTGGAACATCAATGGCAATGGGGGGGTGGATGGAAATGAATGATGCTGGGGTGATGTTCGGATGGAGTAACTTTCACAGACTCCTCATGAGGAAACAAACAAAACAAACTGCCTATAAGTAATGCCCATTGCCAGCTGCAAACGCATACAGCTTTCCAATCAACTTTGTGCAGTTTGAGTCCCTTGGGTTACACGTTTGTCGAATATGCAAGGGGATTGCGGCTGCCAGGAAACACAAAGAGATGGCAGTAGAACTACATTTTTTAGATGTCTTTCTGTTTCTCTCACTTCCTTTCCTTCAGAGGGAGAGAGAGAGAGCAAATCTGAAACGAGCTCTTCACGTGCATCCATTTCCCCAAATCTCCCACCGTGCAAGAGCTTAAGTACCAACTGTAGTTCCTCTGTGATTAACTTTACGTAGCACAGCAGCCTAGTAAATGAGCTGCAGCCTTGTTTGAGAAGTGAAACATTAAGTACAACGGCATTTGCTGCAATAGATGCAACCTTTCTGGAGAGCTGGTAAACTATTGAGTAACATTGGATGGAGATGGAACTGGATAGATATTCTGAACGTTCTGACTTCTGAATTATAATCATATACTGTTCGTTCGTTGGCCAGAGGAGAACTTGCCCCCCGACTGAGTCTGATTTCTCCCAAGGTTTGGTTCCTTACCACTGTCACCTTTGGCTTTTGGCTTGCTTAGTTGGGAACACTTAATATTCAACAATATTGATCTTCCAGAACTGAAGCTAGACGATGATATCACTGTTTTCTCCAGACCGACTGTTATAGATAAACTAACTAACTTAATGACTTAACTTACTTAAGCTGGACTATGACCCTATTTTCTTCTAGATCTGCTGTACAGCCCAAACAAACTTTGTTTGGACCGTAAAGCTGCTTTGAAACAGCCAGTGCTATATAAATAAAGTTGACTTGACAGTTTGGGACGTGGAAAGAGACTGGACATTCTGTACGGTGAAAGACATGGAAGTACATCATACCTCTTTGCTGAGGGCGATAAACACTCCCTGCATTCATGTTGGGGTTCTCTGCATTGTTGGAGACGAGAGGGTTGCGAGGAGCTGGTTGTATAAACGGAGGCTGTGGCCTTCCAAAGGGTGGAAATTGTTCATATTGGGGGCTTTGCACAGCAGGCTGGAATGATGAGCCGGTGTTGCTCGAAGCACCATTAGAGGCAGGTACTGCAGGATTACCGCTGTCTCGAGAGTCCTCGTTGAACAGGCTATGCGTGTATCTGTGATCCAAGCCGTCGGAGATTTGTGGCTGCGCAGGTTGGGCAGGAGCATGGTAGGTTTGACCGTAAGGGGAATAGTAACGATACCTCTCGTCAGTTGAGTAACCACCCCCTCCGTATCCGCCACTAGTGCCCGAAGAGTATCCCGTTCCACGGAAGGGAGGTTCGTATGATCTGTCCTGAACAGAGTCGTGAGGATACGGTGGCTGTTGAGGGAACGGATACTGTGGATAAAAAGAAGAGGATGAGCCTGAGGATGGTCTAAAACGAGAGCCGGTAGAGAAGCGACTGGTTTCACCTGTCCCAGTTGCGCCCTGGCGCCAGTTGTCAGGCACTTGGCCGAATCCAAACGGGTGTCTGGCTTGACCTCTTACAGTCTCCGAGGTTGCCCTTGAAGGTGCTTGTCTCCGTACATTCCCACCCTGTGATCTACGGTTGGGGGCGTCCGCTAGCAGCACTCGATGGTTCCTGTCACGCTCCTGAGCCCGAGCCGGGACGTATTCGGCCCCGCTGTTGAGAAGACTGTACACACGTCCATTGTTCTCCCATCGAATCATCTGTCTCCAGGGGTTTGAGTCCTCTGTCTGAGGCTGAGATTGAGACTGTCCCCCTACGGTTCCAAGCAACACAACGACCCACCATGTCATGAAAACAACAGGCAGCATGTTGACAAGACTTGCATGGAAGACCTTCAGGAAAGAGTGAACGATGAAACTCCGAATTGATCCAGCAGCAGGTTAAAGATGGCAAGGCATAGAGGACTTATCGTGCCCATGAGCAAATCAGACTACATGCAGGGAATGAACTTCGTCCTTGGTTCAGTATTTGGTGCAGGCATAGCTGTGAGGAAGGCAGATGATTTCTGATGCCCCAGGGAAGGGTGAAGAATGAGAAACCTCCCTCTTCCGTACTGTCCGGATGTTGAGTTGTTGTCAGTGGACTGAGCATTGCTCTCAGGCTCTCACTGGAGACGACTGCCTGTTGCTCTCCTCTGCACTTCACTATTTGCCTCTCTGAATGCTTACAATAGTCTGTGAAAAAAGAAAAAACGCTCTGATCTCCCCCTCCCTCTCTCCCTCAATCTAACGTGTCTTTTTTCTTTTCTTGAAGCCAGATCCCACATGGCCCTAGTGCTCGAGCTGTTTCCTAAACTACAGCAAAGCCAGGTCTTTGCACAGGCTTCCAGAGTCAACATCACCATCTGTGAAGGCACTTGAGTATCTAGTGAGCCTGTGTTGACTTGCTTTGATCCCTCTGAACAAGCGGGGATGTCTGGTGCGTGGCCTAGGTTCACCCACCCGGGTGCGAGAGAGCTCTGCCTTTGTCTCATGTTTTTCCAAACACAATTTTTTAACACTCATCATCATCACAACATATGAGAGGACATTAATTCCAGCAGGATGTTTAGAAATCCAAGTTATGTACTTGAGAGGAGGCCAAAAAAAGTCAGCACAATTTGGAACAAGCAGTTTCACGTAAAAGAAAAATCCCTTCCAGTAAACGAAAATGGATGATAGCGGGCAAATATGCAAAACATAATTCTACAAGCTTGATTTGAATATGCAGAGGGAGCCTAGACTCATTAAACATGGTTTTTGTTTCTTTACAGATATTATATAAACTATATAGATTGAAAACCAATCCCAAGTGATATACAGTATTATTTCAATCTAGCCCTGCTTTTTAACATTTGTAGAAGAATCTGAATACACAAACCACATTTATATTTCTTATCTACACTATCATGGCCATCACTGTTTTAATATTCCAGATACGTTCCTCACCAAATGCTACACTGCCATTTTTGTAATATTGTAATGGAGCGGCAACAATCAAACACATTCTCCTAAACATTCTGGCTTGTAATCCGTGTTGTGTTTTGTTTAATTTGGAAAATGTTTAATAAATGTACTTATAAAAAAAAAAAAGAAATCGTTAAGTTAATTTACTTGGAATATGGAATTAAGTACATTTTACAGAAAATAAGTAATTTTAACTTGGCTGGTAAACGGTTGATTAATATCGATTTATTTGAAATTTCCTTTGCCTTTGCATTACATTTCACTAAAACAATAATATTGAATTTTATTAGTCATTTATAGTATGTATAATACATCATGTCAGATGGTTAGCATCATGTGAATGCAAAGACTTCAATACTTGGTAGACAATACACAATAACGGTAACATTTGATGGGTCGTTTTTGTGTCATTTTGAGCCAAAAATTTACTTCAAATGTCACAAAATGGCAAGTTACTTATACTGACAACAAAAATCAATGATAAAACAGGGTAAGTAATGCTGGATAGCAGTGAAAAATGAACCTTCAGGTCCAGTGCATGATGGGAACCTATCAGAAAAGTTGAGTAATTTTTACTCAATTTTATTGAGTTGGTATTTACACTTTCATTTCTACTCGCTTGAATTAAGTACTGATATTGAATTTACTTAGTTTTTATTTTTTTTAAATTCTTGCCAGAACGAACTTTTTCATGTAAATTACATTGTTTTTTTTTTCAGTAGTATTTACTTTACCAAAAAAATAGTTTTTTACAGTGTAAACAGTCTGATTCATATAGTGACTGATTCGTATATTGTTTGTCAAACTACAAGCAATCAAAATTTATAAGAAAATGTGCTAAACCTGTGCTTCGGCATGTCCAACTCTCAAAAGCCTCACAAATCACTAGCTGTGATCTCATCTCCATCTTTGACATCTAAGTGTCTCGCATTCGACGCAAAGGTCTGAAAATCCTCGGAGACTGCCTCTTATCACCCCTCCCCAAAGGGAAGAGCCTGAAGGTGATTACAATGAAAAGCGCTCATTTCCACAACCATGCTTACTGTTGAACTACTGAATTCCCCTCCAATTACACATCAGGACATTGTGTTGATTGCTAAAGCACCATAATATTTCACCGGAACAGTCATTTACTTTATTTATTCGGTGATCTGTCCAGTGAGCCCATTGTCTTTTAGGCCAGAATGTGTCCTCATTATGTGTGATTTATTAGTGATATTCAGCCAAATTTTGTCTTCATTTTCTCACCCTCATGCTGTTGCAAACCTGCTGAACAAAAAGGGGATATTTTCCATAACACTGGCTCACACCCTTAAACGTATCAAAAAAAATAGCCAATTTCACTTTTAATATGATATATGATGTGGAATATATAGTCCTTAAGACTTGTGTGCTATACTGTATTCTACGTTTTCTGACATCATATGTTAGTTTTGTGTGAGAAACAGAGAATTTTAAAGCACTTTTGAAAAAACTTTTGCTGATAATTTACTCACCCCCATGTCATCCAAGATGTCCATGTCTTTCTTTCTTCAGTCGAAAAGAAATTAAGGTTTTTGATGAAAACATTCCAGGATTTTCTCCATATAATGGACTTCAATGGGAACCAAATGTTTCAGGGTCCATAAGACAGTTTAAGTGCAAACTGCAAACTGTTCAAAGGGCTTTAAACGACACTAGATGATGAATAAGGGTCTTATCAAGCGAAACGATCGCTCATTTAATAAATAAATAACAAAGTTTAAGTTTTATAACCTCAAATGCTCGCCTTGCTCTGTTCTGTGATGCTCGTTCGTGACTCTCCTGTTCATCAAAATGAACAAATCTTTGTCTGAGTCAATTCGTTCGTTGAATGAACCAAATGATACGGAAAAAGATTTGTCGTCTGGAATCATTTAAAGCCCTTTGAACAGTTTGCACTGAAACTGTCTTTTGGACCTTGAACCGTTTGGTTCCCATTGAAGTCCATTATATGGAGAAAATCCTGGAATGTTTTCATCAAAAACCTTAATTTCTTTTCGACTGAAGAAAGAAAGACATGGACATCTTGGATTACACAGGGGTGAGTATTATCAGCAAACGTTTTTTTTTTTTTTCGTTTTTTTTGAAAAGTGAACTACTCCTTTAAGGTGACACTCATTTTACTTTTGTAAACGCTTTTGGCCTGTTCGCATCTGCAAATACAAACGACAGGACTGTTGAAAGGAACATGAAGTCGCTTGTGTAGCCGATTCTGATTGGCTTTAACAGAGTTATGATGGCGCTCAAAGGCGCTCGGTGTTGATGTGAATTGCAACGATGTTGTGTGCACAATTTAAAATGGAGGGGGAGAAATATTAGTTTCTCTAAATACCCGGCTATGTGTAAATGTGGCCTCAGTTTTCACAAATCTCAAGAGAAAAATGACTAATAAAGGTTATTTATTGGCAAGTTTCCAACATCAATTTTTAGGGAGGCTCAGCATCTCAGGCCTCTGCTGTTGTCAAGCCAGAAAAACAAGATCAGAATGTGGAAGAGTCATATATCTTAGATTAGATTATACTTGACATGTGCCATACACACCAAAAGTCTATTGTGTTATTGTGTGCTACACTTTTACAGCAGATGATTTAAAAAGCCATGTCCTCTGTAACTATTCTCCAAATATGGGGAGGCAGAGGATTAGATTACGGCACGACATCGGAATGAATTTTGGGACAGTGAGTTCAAATTGTTCCCGATATCAGATTTCGCCGTCCGTTGTTATCAAAATCAACAGTTGCCAAGCTGTTTGCATTGGCCCCGCGCGGAGCGGGTAACGTCCAGAATGTACCAGAGATCAAGGCATGACAGCATTCCTCACAGGATTATGTTTAAACTAACGAGCAAGCGCTTTGAGCCGGCTCGCGGAAACTGAACCCACCAAAACACGTAGACGGATAACTGACCGCTTTAACGGCACATGCATGGCAACGTGCTTCAAAGTGAAGAGTTATATTGATGCTCTCGGGATGAAAGAAGGAGAGGAAGGCGAAGGAGATTAAACTAGCCGCACTAATCCATCTTTATGGATGTGGAGGACGTTTATTGTTAACTCTTTTTGAAACCTTTATTATTAAAGGTGTATTTCGCAGCCATGAGCACTGTAAAAAAAGAAGTTTGGCAACACTTTATTTTAGTGTCCTAATAACAGTACATTATGCACTACATGCAACTAATCCCTAACCTTATAAGTACATGTAGTTGATTATCATTACTCAGTACCTGCATTAAACAATGATACTGTACCTTAATAAAGTGTAACCAAAAGATTTTTCAAAGTTGCAACCTCTTTTTTTTGGGATTATTGGACTGTTTTTGTCACGGGTGGTTGCAGGAAGGCAGATGAAGATAAAGAATAAAGTTTAATGATGATAATAAAACTAAAAATGTCAAAATAAGAGGAAGGGAAACACACTAAATGCAACATAGACCAACCAGAGAATGAACACGAGGGATCAACTTATAAAGCAAACACAAATGACATAATTAAAAGGACACAGCTGAAACCAATGAACATAAATGTTTTAACACACATTGAGTATTGTCGTGTAATTTATAAATTAAAACATAAAAGTCATTTAACATAAAAAACATAAAATTTAAAAATCATATGCACGTAAAAACTCATTTTAGTGTGTAAATTACACGACAATACATATGCGTGCTATAAAGACGCATTTAGTGAGATCATGTTGGATTATTACACTAACGTTTTAACCTGTTCTGTCGAACCCTTTTCCACCATGAAGAACCTTTTATGGAATGAAGTTTCGGATGTTGGAAACTTGCCAATAAATAACCTTTATTAGTCATATTTCTCAGATCTGAGAGTTGAGATTTGTGAAAAATGAGGCCACATTTACACAGCCACTAATATTTCTCCCCTCCATTTTTAATTGTGCACACAACATCGTTGTAATCAACCCGGTCTCATCCCATATCGTCATATAACTGACGTTTTGGGACGTCTTTTGACCATACGTCAATATTCGCCTTTTTAGGGCCCCCTTAAACGTCGGTAGATGAGGTTATGGGATCCTAACTCTACCCCATACCTAAACCTAACCCTAAACCTAACCCGTCACCTAACTGACGTTAAAGGTAAAGCGTCAGTTGTATGACGGCCCGGGATCGCCATCTACCGACGTTTAAGGGGGCCCTAAAAAGGCGGAT